AGGCCAGCAGTGAGCTATAGCACGCTCCGTCCACGGACTCGAGCCTTAGATTGACCGTAGCCGCATAAGATGTCGATGAACCGTCACAGAACGCGTGAGGATGAGCTGACACTATGCATTCAAGGGAATTATTAATCCATTGGTCTATGCTTATATCGCAGATCCTCAGCAACCCGTCCCGAAACGCTCGCCCTCGGTTCACCAGCGCATCAGGAATCTTGTCTTCCCACTCCAGCGCCGACTGCGTGCCATCCGCATGCACCACGGTAACCTTCTTTAAGATCCGATTTCCCACGATGATGACTGGTGCGATGAGACCCAGGGGATCGAACAGCCTAGCTATGCTCGATAGAATCATCCGTTTGGAGAACCTAGCTGGAATCTCAAAATTGACATGAAATTTAAAACAGTCCTTATTCGGGAGCCAATACATCCCTAACGCCTTGATAGGATCCGTAGTGTCCCAGTTTAAAGGAGTCCGGCTGCACTGATGCTCCGCAGGAATCGAGAGCAAAAGACTGGACTCGTTGCTAGACCATTTCCGCAACTCCATGCACGCGGATTTTATCGCACCCGATACTTGTGTCCGCTTATCCCTTGCCTCCTCCAACGTGTGACCTCTGGAAAGAATGTCATCCACATATATTTCGCTCATCAGCACCTCTTCCGCCTTGGGAAATGTACGCCGCTCGTCCGTCGCCGTGAATGACCCTGATGGCCGTGAAGGGTGCAGACGCCGTCCCAAAGGTTAGCGTTGACAAGACAAGACTAGAGCACCCGATGACAGCGTACTTGGGTCGCTTCCCTCACTCCAAAGTTAGTGTTTTGAGCTATAGGCTCGCCGGGCAGCCCGATCCTGGTGTCCGGTAAATGGCCACACCCAAAATGAGATCGACTAGCTTCGGTCGTGAGAAGTTCGGATACCCCAGCGGGAGCCCTCGTATATGGCCCCAACGCTGAGGCATGCACCTGCGCCCCGGAAGACAGGAAGTAACCGAATTAAAGACATACGCGGAATTAACATCTACTGAAATGTCAGGGTTAACCTTACTGTGGATTTCAAAATTGACAGTATACGACGACAGCCCCCAAGACCCATCCCAAAAATAGATCTTCGGGTGCCAGATCGCTTCAGGTGCTTCGAGACGCTGGTTGCTTCCGATCCTTATGACAGCGCGCAGTCCGTTGACCGGGTTCCTGACGGTGATACAAGCAGTGGCGAGAAGGACATTTCTCGAAGAGGGATCCGATGACGTTGCTGAATAGCATCCGTAAGATGTGCCGGGGTTCGAATCTGTCGTTGGCTGTCTGCGCTGTTGAGATACGTTTTCCCTGTCTGCAGGTACACTAGGAGTCGGCGCCACTGGCCGGATCGGCGATTGGCTATGAGCCAAAACTGAGAAATGCAACATTGTGTGATGACGCTGTCCACGTACTTGACAGCATTTTTTACTCGTGCAGCGCGAAAGGGCTTGCGCATTACTAAGACAACTGATACATTATTTAGCCCTGCTTACTATATCCTTCCTCAAGTAGCAGTCTAGGGCCATAAACGTTGAGCAACGGTGCAGGATATGGTCGCCGCCACAGTGGTAACAGGCACCACTAGAACGTCTAGAGTGCTCCTGTGCACTGTGCGCTAGCACTCGTTTGCTTGGGTCGGTTGAGCCTGGGCCGGCATTGAAGACGTACGATGAGCTGTGTTGCTCAATCGCATCCATTATGACCAGCCGATCGTTTAAAAAGGATTCCAACTCCCTGTAGGATGGAACGGAGGTACCGCTTCCTTAATGGTGCTCCCAAGCGTTGTGGGTCTCTTTGGGTAACCTCGATGCCACGTGGTGTGCCAATCAGTGCTGCGATTCCCCGCCCAAGGCTTGAACGCGGCGGAATGCAGCCAGACAAACATTGACCGTGCTTAACATCGACCGTATTGACTCTGTGCTGTCCTTTTGGTGTGCGAAAATGAGGCGAGGATTTTTGTACCTCTTGATCATCAATCCCCAAGCCACTGAATAATTCCCTTCCGTGAGCTGAATCTGACGGATGTCGTTATCGCGTTCCCTCGGCAGCGACTCTTTGAGAAAGTGCAACTTCTGCACACTACTCAGATTGGCGTTGTTGTGGATTAGGCTCGTGAAGGAATCATAGTAGCCTGGCAAATCGACACAGGCGCCGGAGAACTTCCGAACTGACATCTGGGACATGTTCAGCCGTACTTTCGCATAGGCGCCCCCAGACACTGGTGACGAAAGCGCACGAGCCTCTGGTCCAAGATTGTCCATATCCTCCGCAAAAGCGCAGAAGGCATCCATGTAGCGCTCCTCAACCTCCGACTGGAATCCCTTCGAGGCAAGGGCAGACTCAGAAAACTCTTCCAGGTTCACGATCATTGAATCCGTCACCCTGAACGCGCTTCGCAATTCCTCAACTTGTTCCAGCCGCTTCTTCAGGTAAATCCGAGTTTTCCTCGATTGCGAATCTTTCCTTTCACGGACTGAAATCGATTGGCTTGCAAGTTAACCAACTGCTCCAAAGTAGGAGCATCCGATCCGGCTTTCATGTTGACGAGTGTAAAACGGAACTTTGCGCACAATTCACCACTCCAAATAAGAATTTAATAGAAAAACTGAGTAAATTCTTGTTTCACACACATCTTCTCTACTTACTCCGTTATGAATACCAGAATCCACCCCAAGAAGAAGCAAAGAAAGATGCCGTCTCCGAAGTTCAAGCACCTGTGAGCCTAGGTATCGCCGTCCTCCTTTCCCGTAATTTGCAGCGCCGGCTCGTACATTTGGCGCCGCTTCTATTCCGTTATGCACAAGAATACCGAAAATAAGCGAAGATAAGATCGTCTCAGAGTTCGAGAAACTGTTATTGTTGCCTATGTATCAACGTTTTCTTTTCATCATGGCGTGTCGGAAATTTCCACGACGAGTTTTCAAATTTTTTACAAATTCTTTATAAAAACGAATCTGAATCGTTGCCCTGGTTGATTGGAGAACGAATGCGCATGCCAGACATGAGTACTAGCGACACCTAGTGTGCTTTGATAGAAATACTGAGTGAAATAAAGTGAGAGGAAAAATAGAATCATCTTCGGAACACGCAAGAATTTTATATAATTATTCATAAGTTTTAAATTTGTCTTTCACTTTCTCGATAAATTATTAAATTTTGCTGTTGCTAGCGCTTGGTATTAAACTCTTTACTATTTATACCCGTTACTCGTAGAGTAAAAGGGTATACTAGATTCGTTGAAAAGTATGTAACAGATAGATGGAAGCGTTTGCGACCCTATAAGCCCGACCAATATTCTTGATCAGGATCAATAGCGAAGTCGATTGAGCCATGTCCGTCTGTCCGTCCGTCCGTCCGTCCGTCCGTATGAACGCTGAGATCTCAGGAACTATAGCAGATACAAAGTTGAGATTAAGCATGAAGATTCTTGAGGTCCCGGGACAGCGCAAGTTTATTAAAGCATCCTGCCACGCCCACTCTAACGCCCACAAATCGCAATAAACTAAAATTGCCGAAATCTCAGGAACTATTGGAGTTAGAAAGTTGAAATTCAAAATGTATAATCTTTAGATAGCAGCGCATCTTATAGTGGTAACACTATCCGCCCACACCCACCCATACGCCTCACATGGGCAGTGACGTCACTATAAGCATACTCAACATACTTCCTCTGACAATAGGTGGCACTAGCAAAATAATATTTTAAAATTTTGTAAAACAGTAACGGGTATCTTATAGTCGCGGCACTCGACTATAGCGTTTCCTCTTGTTTTACAATATTGAAATACAATGTCAATATGAATATACAGTAACGGGTATCTTATAGTCGCGGCAGTCGACTATAGAGTTTCCTCTTGTTTTACAATATTGAAATACAATGTCAATATTAATATACAATACAATATGACATACAATCCATCCCAATAACAGATAAGGGCCGGCGAGCGCATATTTTCTCCATTTTGACTTGTAAACGTATAGGTGAAGTCTTTTGTTGCGATGCAGACGAGGAAACCGAACGGTAATGGAAATGTTCCAATTTGAAAAACCAGTTGAATTGAAATTAGGAATAGGTCTGGGAACACTAAAATTTGACTATTGCCAGGCACGATTTTGTCAACTTCTGAGTAACGTCCAGAAAGACGACCAACTCCAGGTTAAATGAACTCCAACTGCTTAACTGGCCCTGGTCTCTTATGGGTCTGATGAGACGCAGTAAAACAGATGAGATGAGGATGCACTAAAGCAGCTAAGCGAAGGCAATCAGAAGCACTTAATATTTCTCAAAGATTTTTACAGACGCTAAGAAAACTTCTATTGAGAATTTGTGTAGGCACCAATATCGTCAATATCGGAGTTAAAAACGATCTCAAGACGAGTGGTGGAATCATAAAAAGTAATGGAATATGATAAGATTGTTTTATAGATAAAGTAGTTAGTATCAGCATTCTAAAATAATGTAGGGTCCTCAAGAATTCCCTTGCTTAACTCAACTTTATATCTTTTAGAGACAGACGGAGAGGGATTAATCGACTCGAATTATTATCCTGATCAAAAACATATATACTTTATAGGGTTGGAAACACTTCCCTTTACTTTTCAACGAATCTAATATACCCTTTTACTCTACGAGCTAGTTTTACTCTTAAGTCGGTGTGGAGAAAAGTAGAGGTACGGTAATACTGCAGGTCAAGAGCGCTGAGGACTTCAGTCTTATCAGTGCGGCGATGCTGGTAAACGCTTTAATAACAGAGGTTTCTGTGGTAAAGGAAACAAGGGTAAGTAACTTTCATTGTCATATGAACACGCAGCTATCGGCTGTGTTTGCCTTAGTGTAAGGTTTTAAAATTGTTTTTTCAGCAGCATAGGAAAATAACCTAGTTTATAATAGTGAAGGCACTCGACTACAGTGCCTATGTTTTGGTTGTTGTATGTAAACTTTTTTTCTTATTGGCTTCTGTGTATATTTTTTTGTACAAACAATAATTTTTAGAATTTTCAGTAGTCCTCTGACGATTATTCCAAAGGTTGCTATTAAATTGTAATCTCTTTAAAATTTTCGATAAGGCGGTAGTCATTTAAACGGTATTGGTGAAATTAAGTACGCAACTAGTCGAGGTAATTAATTTGAAATTAAATAGACCATCGCGGGCAGTGGTTGTTAATTTAAGCCCGTATGGCTATTCTCTCCGTATTCGTGTCATCCGCGCGAAATATTTCTTCAGAGTTGTCCGAATAGTAAGACTCCTGTTGCAACTGCACATATTTATAGTGCGCAGCCATAACAATTAACGACAGTAGCAGAAAGAAGGACACGATTATGTTGTCCCGTGCCACGTCCATCTCAATAGTCCACAGGTATTGTGTGACCTTCGTTATGCAACCGGTACAGTTCTGCTCCTCGCAACAGGAACCAGCTGCCCAGGTGCGGTTATTTGCAACTGTCTGGTAGTCGATCACGCTGGTCTTACCGCAGCATCCGAACTCCACCTCAATCTTGCTAAGGCTATTATTTATCCACATCTGGAGGACCAGCATTTTGACGAAGAACTCGAACCTGCTGCGAAACATGAAGCGCGACACCGCGATGCTAAATGAGTACAACAGTAAAACGCATCCAATCAGCACGTATCCCACGAATTTGAATACGGTTAGTTCCCGGGACATGAAAATTCCGATGATCGCATTCACATTGTACGCAACCATCGTCAGGATGCGCACCCAGAAGACCCATGACCGTAAGGACACTGGGTAGAGGCGCAGTCCGGGGAACATTACTACCTTTAAGTAGAGGTGACTGAACACGTCCAAAAGGAAGATCACTCCCACCACTAACAGGATTACGTTAATCTGCAGCGCAAAGTCGTGCGACACTCGGCACCAGCTTAACGGAGAAGTCATCTCGCAGGCGAAGCTGCTATGAATGAATGCGGAAAAATTCGAATGCTATTTACCTGCTATGAAGTTTTTATCCGGCTCTGATAACCTAGAGCTCCTTTCTCTCCCAGCTCTTCCAAAAACGCAACAAAAATCAAGAAAAAACGCTATGGTTGAATGTCGCAACTATAAGTTACCCGTTAGTGTCTTAACCAATTTTAAAATTATGATTTTTTTAGGAGATATTAACGCAGCGCCTGCTTTTGTCAGACATAGCTTGTTCAATATCTGATATAGGGAGAGCTGAATGCAATAAACATATAGTTTTGAATTTGAATGCGCTGGCGCGCCGTGTTGGCGACAGACGGTCACACTACCTGGACCAGACAAACGGTCACACAGATAAAAGGATTTCCGGGAACGGTCACACTGAATCCAGCCACGGGGTATATAAGGAGAACCGGTTCCCTGGAAGTTGCACTTTTGCCGTCAGCATCGATCAGGTGAGATCAGCCTGCCTCCGCAGTGGGCACCCTTACCAGCAGATAGCAATCATCATTTTGTGGGATTCAGCCTAGCGCTGGGTCTGATAAATTCTAGTCGGTCATACCGAGGGAGCACCCCCATCGGCCTCAGCCGATGCTCTCAAGTAGCGGATCTCTACACGCGGCGGACCCAACGGACCTCGCGTTATATCCACAGGGTCTTTGCCATCTACACATTCTCTCTCGCATTAAATCCAAAGGTTCTTCGCCCTCTACATGCGGCAGACCCATCGGGCCTCGCATTAGATCCACAGGGTCTTTGCCTTCTACACGGGGCTGACCCAACGGGCCTTGTGTTCTCCCTCGCATTAGATCCACAGGGTCTTTGCCATCCACACGCGGCGGACCCAACGGGCCTCGCGTTCGCTCTCGTAGTAGACCCACAGGGTCTTTGCCATCTACACGCAGGGAACCCAACGGGCCTCTCGTTCTCTCTCGCATTAGATCCACAGAGTCTTTGCTATCTACACGCGGCGGACCCAACGGACCTCACGTTCTCTTTTGCATTAGATCCACAGGGTCTTTGCCCTCTACATTCGGACCCAACGGGCCTCGCGTTCGCTCTCGCATTAGATCCACAGGGTCTTTGCCCTTTACATGCGGCGGACCCAACGGGCCTCGCATTAGATCCACAGGGTCTTCGCCATCTACACGCGGCGGACCCAACGGGCCTCGCGTTCTCTCTCGCATTAGATCCACAGGGTCTTTGCCATTTCCTCGCGGCGGACCCAACGAGTCTCGAGTTCTCTCTCGCAGCGGACCCACACGTTATCTGCAATCGCTCAAGCATCGGATCCACAGGGTCTCTGCGTCATCTTTTCTCTCTTTTCTCTCTCATACTTCAGACCTTCTGGGCCTCGGGTCATTCTCTCACCTAACGGACCCCAGGGTCCAACTCTCTCTCGACTTATTTACACTCTCTCGCGTGGCGATCCATCATTCCCATTCCCTTTCCCTTCATAGCTAGTGGATTTACGGAGACGGCCCGACCCCGCCCAAGCGGCCCCACGTCACATTTCAGAGCGCAGGAAGTTAAGCCCACCTCGTCGGGAACTTTCACTCCTAGGCCTAAGGACAGCCGACATCAGATACTACCCGCTGCCCGATATTCATCTCTGTAACCCTAAATATGCAATAAACGACTCGACCTATTCTATACCATATTAACCCGCGTCATACTCTGCGATCGAGGTGGAACCTTCTTTTTAACAACCACATCTGACATCAAATAAACGTTGAAACAAACTGCCGGTATCCGGTGAACTGACCTAGATCACCTAAAGCAGGACCGTTACAAAAGTTTATATATTCTTGATCAGGATCAATAGCGAAAACGATTGAGCCATGTCCGTCTGTAAGTCTGTCCGTATGAACGCTGAGATCTCAGGAATTATAAGAGATACAAAGTTCAAATTAAGCATGAAGATTCTTGATTATTCTTATTATGAATTCCTTCGTTTTACCTTGTATAACCTATTTCTGTAATTATCTATCGATTTTCCAATGATTTTTTAAATCGGAAAATTATTTCGCTATTTATGAAGAAATTTAAGTTATAAGGTCTCACATGGGCAGTGAGGTGGCACATTGTGAATTTCCACAAGCAAAATGTATATTTTAAAATTGTGTAAAACAGTATTGTGTACTGTATGTATAATCTTTAGATGCCAGCGCTTTTTATGGTGGTAGCATTATCCGGCCACACCCACTCTTACGCCTAACAAGCTCAAAAGACGGTTTTCCCATTTTCTAGGAAAGCTGATATCTCGGTAACTATAAGTGATAGAAGGTTCGGATTAAGCAGTTTTCCGATCAAGCCACGCCTACTCTAACGCCCACAAAACCCGAAAAGCCGAAATTGCGAAACCATAAGAATTAGAAAGTTGTGCTTAAGAATGCGTATTTAAGAGATGCCACTGCAACTTGCCCCTAGTTTTTATTCAGCCACGCTCACTCTAACGCCCACAAGCCTCGGAAAACTGTGGCGTCCAAAATATTATAGTGTATGTCTTCGTTTGACCTTGTATAACATATTTTTGTCAATATCTATCGATTCACCAAAGATATTTTAAATCGGAACATTATTTCACTATAAGGCCTCACATAGACAGTGACGTCACTATCAGTTACTCAACATGGTTTCTCTGACAATAGGTGGCACTTTGAGAATTTCCACTAGGAAAATGAGTATTTAATTTTAAAATTGGGTAAGAACCTAACGGGTTACTTATAGTCGCGAAATTCGACCATAGCTTCTTGTATTTTGTTGCTTTTTTGGTAGAGCTGGGTGAGAAAGGAGATCCAGGTCATCAGAGCCGGATGAAAACTTCATTGCAGGTAAATAGGCATTCGAATTTTCCCACATTCATTCATTGCAGCTTCGCCTGCGAAATGACTTGGATGCTGCGGTAATACCAGCGTGATCGACTACCAGAAAGAGATATTATTGCGCGCGGTTGACACGAGTTCCGGAAAGAATGGCCATACGGGCTTAAATTAACAATCACTGCCCGTGCTGGCCTTTTTTTTTTCATTTTGATTATTAGCTGCGTAATTAATTTCACCAATACCGTTTAAATGACTACCCCCTAGTTGTAATCGAACATTTAAAAAAGATTACAATTGAATAGCAACTTTTAGAATAAAAATATTAAAAATTATTGTTGGTGCAAAATAAATTATACAGAATCCAACAAAAGGAAGCGCTATAGTCGAGTGCCGCGACAAAAAGATAACCGTTACTGTTGCTAGTGGAAATTCCCAAATCACCACATATTGTCGGATAAAGCATGTTGAGTAACTGATGGTGGCGTCACCGCTCATGTGAGGCCTTATAACCTAAATTTCTTCATAAATGGCGAAATAAAGTTCCGATTTGAAAAATCTTTGGTAAATCGATAGATATAAACTAGAAATGTTATGAAAGGTCAAACGATAAAATACATTTTAATATTATGTACGTCCCAGTTTTCGGCGGTTTGTGGGCGTAACTGCATGAAAATACCATTTCAAGTTGCGGTGGCAACTCAAATATATGTGTATCTAATCCGAACTCCCTAGCCCTTATATTTACTTATATTTACTTACTTAGAGACAGACGGAGATGGATTAACCGACTCGAATAATTATCCTGATCAAAAACATATATACTTTATAGGGTCGGAAACACTTCCCTTTACTTTTCAACGAATCTAATATACCCTTTTACTCTACGAGCTATTTTTAGTCTTAAGTTGGTGTGGAGGAAGGTAGAGGTACGGTAATACTGCAGGTCATGAGCGCTGAGGACTTCAGGCGTATCAGTGCGGCGATGATGGTAAACGCTTTGATAACATAGGTTTCGGCGGTAAAGGAAACAAGGGCAAGTAACTTTCATTGTCATATGAACACGCAGCTATCGGCTGTGTATTCCTTAGTGTAAGGTTTTAAAATTGTTTTTTCAGCCGCATAGGAAAATAACCTAGTTTATGATAGTGAAGGCACTCGACTACAGTGCCTTGGGTAGAGGCGCAGTCCGGGGAACATTACTACCTTTAAGTAGAGGTGACTGAACACGTCCAAAGGGAAGATCACTCCCACCACTAACAGGATTACGTTAATCTGCAGCGCAAAGTCGTGCGTTTTTCATTTAGGTTTTATTCTATTATTTTTCTTCATTTGTGTGCCGTAATCTGGAATTCCTGCGTACATGAAAATGTCAGCTGGTATCTGATTTGTAGCGTTATGTATAGTGTTGTGATTGTAAACATAAAGGATTAATTCGAATTTGGTATATCTATTCTCGATATCTGCGTAATTAATTTCACCAATACCGTTTAAATGACTACCCCCTAGTTGTAATCGAACATTTAGAAGAGATTACAATTGAATAGCAACTTTTAGAATAAAAATATTAAAAATTATGGTTGGTGCAAAATAAATTATACAGAATCCAACAAAAGGAAGCGCTATAGTCGAGTGCCGCGACAAAAAGATAACCGTTACTGTTGCTAGTGGAAATTCCCAAATCACCACATATTGTCGGATAAAGCATGTTGAGTAACTGATGGTGGCGTCACCGCTCATGTGAGGCCTTATAACCTAAATTTCTTCATAAATGGCGAAATAAAGTTCCGATTTGAAAAATCTTTGGTAAATCGATAGATATAAACTAGAAATGTTATGAAAGGTCAAACGATAAAATACATTTTAATATTATGTACGTCCCAGTTTTCGGCGGTTTGTGGGCGTAACTGCATGAAAATACCATTTCAAGTTGCGGTGGCAACTCAAATATATGTGTATCTAATCCGAACTCCCTAGCCCTTATATTTACCCAGCTTTAAGAGTTTTAGGTTTTTAGAGCTTGAGCGTAACAGTGGGAGTGCCCGGATAATGGTACCACCTTGAGATGCATTGGCATTATAAATACTTAGTCCCAACTTTCCAGCTCTAATATTTCCTGAGATTTCAGCGATTTTAGTTGTTCTGGAAATGTGGGCGTTTGAGTGGGTGTGTCAGTATTCTAAAATAATGTAGGGAGCTCAAGAATTCACTTGCTTAACTCAACTTTGTATCTCTTAGAGACAGACGGAGATGGATTAACCGACTCGAATAATTATCCTGATCAAAAACATATATACTTTATAGGGTTGGAAAC